TTTACTGGGATTATTTAATGTAATGGCCCAGGTCCCTTTTAGTGCCCTTTGGGAAATTACATTAATGACTTGTAATAAGTAGAGACATCTTTCTTGTCCCATTTTAAATGGAAAACTAGAACAAGGTAATAATTATTTTGAAATCACATAAATGTTAAATCACAGAGAGTTAGGAAACAAAAGAGTCAGATTATACTCCAGAGCTGCAGAAGCACACAGCTGGGTGTAGGAATAAAGAGAAAACAAGCTTAGTTAGGAACTCCAACTGTGTAATCCTAGGCAAGTATTTTAACCTTAATCCTTATTGTGAAGATTAAATGGAATAAGAAATGTAAAGAGCCTAGCAAATAGTGAGATACCAGCGTACATTAACTCCCTTTTCTCCCCCAATATCATCACTAATGGACCCTGTTCTCTGACACTGTTAAATAACAGGTGCAAACAGATTTAAACGTTTCCTGTTTCTGAAATTTACTATCTATTGGGCAGAGAGAACTTAAACAAAAAAACAAAATAATAAAAAATAAGGTAGACATCCTGTCTATTTTATTTACTCCTGGGCTAAAATTGCAAATGTTTATTGGATAAATGAAAGAGATCACATTGTATTAAGGAAATATACATGACTAGTTCAGTGCACCTAATCTTGTATATCATCATGAAAATGAACTGCAGGATCTGGGGGTAAAATGAGGAAACAGAAAAAAAGTTACTAGATAAATAAGACAAAATCAATAAGTGTTGACATAAGTAAAATCATTTCTTTTGGTCAAGAGATGCACTTTTTTCACTCAATAATTATTTACTGAGCATTCACTGTGCATCTAATATTGTACTTGACTATGAAACTATAAGATAATATAACATTATTTTAGTTTCCTTCTTAAACCTGGGAACAAAGATGTAGTGAGGAGAATAAATGAATGAATAATGAACGGATGAGGACAAAACCCAATAGAAAAGTGCAACTTTCCAAAGCAGAAGCAAAGTTAAACAGTAAAAGCAGAAGGATATGAGAATGTGTGAGTGTGCATATTATTAATGCTATACATTTAACTGCCTAATGGATTTGGGAACTAGTTAAAATTATTAATAATAAATCAAAATTGAAAGCCAACACATAATTAATTTTAAACTTCACTTAATTTTCATTTGCAATATAAATAAGAGATCACATTTGTTGCAGCATCACCCAGCTCATGCACTGAGTGCAGTAGGCAGTAAACATTCTCTTTTTAGACAGGCAAAGGCATTAAAGAACAATGACCATAAATCAAAGTCAAATGTCTCTTTAAAGTAAAGAAAAATCCAATTATTTGAGGGATATTTAAGCTGTGTTTAGGATAAATTACAAAATGTAGGCAAAATCCATTCTAGAGAAAACCTATTCCCTTCTCCATCAAGTCCATGTTGAAATTATTTGATATACACTTTTACAACAATTTCTGAATGGAAATTGACCCGGGTGGGATAGCTGTCTAAAGATACTGAACAATTTTCACATGTTTACCTTAGAAATGCCTTACCCCTTGGGTGAAATATAGTTGACACTATTCCCCAAAAGAGTATAAGAATTAAAGTTTACATAATTCAAATTAATTAAACTGTCAACACTGATGTAAGATTAGTTTTATGTAATGGTATTTTATAGAGGTGACATGTGTCCAGAGTCATTTTCTTTTTTTTTAATATTCCAGCCCTAGAGTAAGAAAAGACTAAAGACTCATTTTAACTTTATTCTTGATTTCTTGATGTCCCTGGAAGTAAAACCTTCTTTTCTACAAAACCTTTCAATATTTAAATAAATAGCCAAAACTGAGTCTCTAGAGGAAGTTCCTTCATACCAAATTTTTGAGGGCCTATCCTCATTTTTTTTTTTTCACTTGGAAAAACTATCCACCCGGTAGCCGTAAAGGGTCACTATAGAAATATGTGCCAATCAAAGGATTCAGAACCAAAAAGAAATCATTAAATTAATGATAAACAGACATTTAAATGAAGGAAGGTATCAATTTGCTGTGGATTGTCTTTCTGTTCCGCTGCTGCTTGCGGTGTGTGTGCATGTGTGTGTACATGTGCTCGCGCACGCTCCACGGTAACTATGAAAATGTAGCACTTTTTAAAGGGATTGTGTTTTGTTTTGTTTTGTTTTGTTTTCTAGCAAGGGAATTCAGAAGTGAGAGGAAAGAGCACACAACATTACAGGGGAAGGAGATGATGAGTATACATTAATCTTGGAGAAAGTATCCGTTAACACTTTTCCCTTATATTAATCATATTGATGATGGAAAAAAGTGACTATCACCATAGAGATGCTTTTTTGAAAGTGGTCTCAGAGGAAATACAATTTGAATTTAAATTCAGAATTTTTCTAAAATGGCGATTATATATGGAATGTTCCATTTCCTGGTTTCTCCTGCTACTTTACTATTAAACATTAATTCAAGGGTGTTTCTAGCCTTTTGAAAACAATTGGAGTTGAGAGAAACTGTGCCATATGCCGTGCTTACTCAGGCAGCGTAAAGCAAAGTACTGAGCAATTACATGGCGGATTTGATCAGTTTTGACAGCCAGTCTTGAAACTCAAGCCAGAATGCCCTTCTCTTCCTTCTGCAGCAGGTTTTGGAACTGAATTACATGACTAATTGCATCAGATTTCTACTTTACCTTGGCAACGGTCTCACAAACCCTGCATGTACGAAACGACTTTTGTGATCAACTTTAAAAATTCTATGTGTCATGGTTATTTTACAACTTCTATATTAGAATATATATTAAAAATAATGATCGATACAAGTATTTAAATAAGCTTTTCCAACTACTCTGGACTGTCTTGCACCCAAGTCATTCCACAATGTTTCCTTTCCTCAAATACGTAACTTGTATTTATCAAATATAGTATTTGATTAGAGGATCCTAGTACAATTTATAACCTGATAAATACGAATTAGTTCAGAAAGTTCTTCTCATCCTTCGCTTGAAACATATCCAAGAATCATGTAGATTATCTGGATCATTTCCTTAGTGTATTACCATAATCGTATAAAAATTCATGGCATTCACATTGACAGTATCTAGTTTATAGTCATATATTAGTGAAATTGAAGTGCTCTAAATATGAAGGCCATTAACATTAAATAGTCACTGATTCTGTAATAATTCAAACCTGAAAAACTCTCTAGAGAGTGTACAAGGGGGTGTGCCACCAGATTTGGATATTCATGAGGCTAAAGCAATCTCTCCAAAACTTCTTAATGTGCAATGATCATTTTAACTTAGAGATAAATAGACATAAAAGAGAGGGATGGGATCTTACTTCTGAGACGAAAGTAAATTAACTTTGGGGTATTTTATCTTTCACAGCAAATTATGGGGCAGTGCCAGCAGGCCACAGATGTACACCTCATGAGGAGCCTAAAAAGACATCTGTGAAGTGGGGGAAATTGTATTTTAGATTCAAATGTAATTTAGTAATGAAATGTCAACCACACCCCAGATGAATATTTCAAATATACAAATAAAAAAATATATTTTTGTACATCTTTTCTTTCTCGATGTCAGGTTAATGATAAGCAAATGGTCTAGCTCTTATATACTAGTGAACTAATTAAATTGAGAGAGAAAAGGACACAAGACTGAGATAAAAAACAGAGAAAGAACGACAAAAAGAGGCATGCCGGAGAAACAATACTTTACAAACTTTCTATTTTATAGGTTGCCAAATATTTACAGAAAATAAATACATCTACTTGGAAAATACCTTTCTAATCATAACACAGTACATGGTTCCTCCCACCCTACTACAATAAATAAATCACTTTATTGTTTGTCTGTTAGCATACTAGAATTTTTTTTTTTGCATTCAATATTTCTTCATTGGTGCATGTTCATTTTTTTAAATTATTATTTTTTCAATTACAGTTGACACTCAATATTATATTAGTTTCAGGTGTACAGCATAGTGGTTAGACATTTATATAATTTAATAAGTGATTACCTGTTAAGTCTAGTACCCACCTGGCACCTTAAATAGTTGTAACAATATTATTGACTATATTACCTATGCTATAATTTACATCCCCATGACTAATTTGCAACTGCTACTTTGTACTTCTGAATCCCTTTACTTTTTACTGACAGGGGCTGTGTTTTTTCATCCTCTTAGCTATTCCTTTGGTACATGTGCAATACCCGGCACATGAGCAGTCTCAATGAATATTTGTGGAATAAAAGAAAGCATGAATACCATTCTACTTTAAAAAGTTACTGATGGTATAAATTTTTGACAGTCTATTATCTTTACTTCTGTGACATTCCCAACGTGATTTATAAATTATTAGTATCCTCTATGGTTGATCACATTTTGAAAGTAACTCATGCATATTCCAGGGCCTGGCAGCCCATGCATATGCTGAGAGCTATGGTCATGATATACTTTCTCTCTTAGCTTGCGTCCAAGAAAGTCTGTCAGTTGCAGTATCACCATTTAATGGGGAATTATTTCAAACCTTAAGGAAACACATTTGGTGTGAAAATAAAAGTATGCCTTTTTTTTTCTTTAACTTTTTTCCATTTTGGGATGGATTTGAAGTTTGGCCATTTAGAAGTAGGAGGGGATTTAAAGAGTAGTAAGTAAAGCAACTAATGAAAACAAAGTATTTAATGAAAGTAGGAAGCAAAGACCACAGGAGAAGGAATATAAGAAGATATTAAGGTGATAAACCAGAAAGAAGAAAGGAAAGAGTGATAGTAAAGAGATCTGCAAATTATTTTACATAGTTCCATATACATATGAACACATATATATGTATCCATGTGTGTGTGTGTGTGTGTGTGTGTGTGTGTGTGTATATATATATGTTTCTGATGAGCAATTTATTTTTATATAATATCCATGCTGAGATACTCCAACTGTTACATATCAATTTAAAATGAGATGTCATAGCTTCACAAAATTACTAACCTTCTTGGGTACAATTGGTTTGGGTTTCATCACTGAAGTCTCCACAGTCATTGTCACCATCACAGGCCCAATGGCCTGGGATACATCTGCCACTGGAACATCTGAACTGATTATCAAAGCAAGAGTGAACACAGCCAACCTCATCACTCCCGTCCCCACAGTCGTCATCTGGAAAGAAACATCAATATCAAGGTCATGAAAACTGATCCAGGGACAAACTTTTTCCTATGAATATCTTTTATTGTTTTGTACAGAGTTTTCTTTTGTTATTGAAAAAGAAGTGAGAAATCAGTGATCAACATTTCCCATGAAGAGTGGGAGAATGATATTCTTTTTCATATTGCTTAACTTCTGATTTAATATCAACTACTAAACTAAGAGAAAAAAAAATCCTTGAATTTGAATGTTGAAGCTTAATTTCTATTTGACTGAGAAATGACTAACCACTGACTGAATGAATCTATGCAGCATAAAGTAATTATGAGGTGGGAGGACGATGGGGATTGTAGGAATTTTATAAAATAATATAGCAGGTAATACAATTATTGTGGAAAATAATTATTATATACCTATAATATTAATGCCCCAGAATTTATAATTTTATCTTCAGTCCACATTCTCCTTTCTCCAACAAGAGGTCCAACTCTGTACCATTCCCCACTGGCTCCTAAGTGTGTATTTTTATTGGGAAAATATTTGTACACTATTACATTAGTAATGATTTATAGTCTTTATTAACAAGTGTTGCAGAAAGGAAGGCAGAGGAATGTGAAGTGAGAATAGATTACATTTAAATCTATGGCTGAGAATGCATCATTTAAATATAATTCATTTATCTGTATTTGGCATAATTTAGCATGATGATGCAATTGAGTATAAGAAAAAAAACATCCCTTGAACAGAAAAAGTAAAGTGACAGAATTGAAGCCATCTGGTTAATTACATGATAATTTATATACCACTCTATCCTGGGTTTCAGAACACCTTGCATACATACTTTGGGGAATTGGAATTGTCCAGAACACTTCCTCAATTGTCCCCTTTTCACTTCATGTTTGTAGACTTAGACCATGTCCAGCATCATTTCTGGAAAACAGCTCTCTATCATAGCCCCATGGGACAGGTGTTGAGCTCTATTATCCTAAATGCTAATCCCTACTGATGTGCCAGCTGCCCTCTCACCACTTGTTCTAGCCATTTTGCTTGGCTCTGCAAGCTTCTCTCAGAACCACCCCTGAAGGAGGTGAAGCCGCACAGAGCCAGGCCCACAGTCAATCAGTGCAGAACAGTGAACATTTGGTACTTGCCAGCGTCACAGTGCCATTTGCTGCTAATGCACCTTCCACTTTTGCATATAAATTGGGTGAGCGGCTCACAAGTTGGAAATTCTGTGAAAGATATAAAAAAACATCCAACAGGAAAGATTTTATTGACGGTACTTGACTTAATTTGTATCTCATTTGCTAATGTGATCAGAACTTCATCCTTGTCCTCCACAAAAGGCACAAAGAAAAAAACAGATAAATACATACAGTGACAGTAACTTCTTGAAGACATAGGATACACATACTTTTAATATCTTTTAAATGAGTATATGTTCTAGTGACTGAAAGCCAAGGAAAATCATTTGATGAAGAGCTGTTTGAGTTCATTATATTTTAAGTAAAATGAAGAGATGTGACCTCCCTGCATCAACGGCTCAATCTCCTCTCAGAGAGTAACAGCTGGATGGAGCTCTGCTCCAGCGCTGCAAAGTCACATGCATATGCTTGAAAGGAGAAAGGCCTTTTCTGAATGCAGAGGGCCAAAGTAGGGAACTAGATCTAACTTTGCCTCTGAGGGATGTCAACACCACAGGTTGAAAGTAAAAACATAACAAAAACAACTCAATAAAATAACTTTAGTTGCTATCATACAATTACAAAGATTAAATTTCATGATTACCAAAGCCATATGTTGAGATATAAATTTTAGAATAAATTTAACTTTTTGAACACCAAACAATGTGATTAGCATCTAAATATGATTCAGAGACAGGAATAAAAAGGAGGCAATCCTTTTTGTTTTATATGTAGAGATATAAGGAAAGCTAGCCATACAGCCACCCAACAAATATTCTGACATAGAAGGTACTGAGAATAAAAATAAAAATAAAAATGACCAAGACATAATTTAATATTTACTTATAAGAGAGTTTTCTTATGCTATCTGACAAGATAATGAAAACTTATGTTTATGTGTCAAGAATCAACATAAATATTGTCAAAAACATGTTTTATTCCTTGGAAAAGTATGTTTAATTTTTAGAAGCTGTACAGTAGATATAAATCAGGGACTTTAAACCAAGTATCAATGCAAGCTGTGGTTCAAATGAGTAAACAACTAAATGCAGACTCTAAGACATAATGAGATCTAATTTTAAAAAATGTAACCTAATATCTTTTTGCATCTCTAATAGGTTAATTCACATTTTTAAATCTCTCTTCTGTAAATTTAGGAGCATATTAACCAACATCACAGATTTTACTAGAAAAAGTAAATCAACCCAAGTATTTGGAAACTTCTGAAACTTGGTGGATACTTCACTTGTTGGGAAATTTTTCATGTGACCTTTACAATTTGTTTCTATCTCTTAGATTCTAGGTCTAAAAAACAGCCAAAAGAAAAATATGGAAATTAGCTCCTGAAAGGTAAAAACTTACAAAATGAATAAGATCACCTAAAAACCCAGTGTATCTTCAATCTCTAAGAAAATAAGTCATACACCTTCTGCCCACTATGAGATACATATATGCATACAATGTGCATGTATTCTTAAATAATTATATTTAATATCTGATTATTTTTAGTCACATCATTTCTCTTGGTAATCTTGTTCTTTGAAATAGTTTATAGGACCAAAAGGCAAATTATATAAAGGAAAAAAAATTGGGAAGTATAAGAAAGCGTAGGGCAAGTCACTAAAAAATGCAAAGACATTAATTAAAGGGACGCATGTAAGGGTGTAAAGTTACTAATGTTTTATCCTTGTTTCCTTATCAAAGCTGTGTGACCTTGCATAAATCACACAACTTCTCTGGTCACAGATTCTTGGTTTGTAACATAATATCTCAGATCTTTTAAGTCCTAAAGATCAAGAAGTCTGAAGAAACATCATCCAGAAATGCACAACACCCTTAAAGCATTTAATGTAGCAAAAAATAGGGTTCACCACCTGAATAAAACCTGGGATTGTCACAGCATTCCAATAAAACACAACTGAATTTCAGAAAAATAGAATAACTTATAAATAAATAAATGTTAAAATTATCTTTGATTTTTCTCTGCTTAGTAATGAAGTCAAATGTGCAATACATTTTAGAAAGGGTTCCATCAAAAAATTAAAAACATAGGGTCCCTCATTTTTCACTAATGTTGGAAAAAATCCTGTATCTATAATTCCTTAGTATCAAATCACTTGTATCTGATGGTGATAGAGAAATGAGGTCTAATACAATATACTTCTCCCCTAAAAATAAAATAAAACCAAAGTTCTTAAAATAAATGTAATGCTTTCCTTGTCCTTCTATATTACCATTAATTTAAAAGTTGAAAATAGTTTATAAACATTTCAGTTTGTTTCTGGATACTCATTTTGATAAAATACCATTATGGATTCTTATACAGTATTTGACAGACTTAAACATTGCACATAATCTTTTCTTTCTTGACTGTACATTAATCTTTAACTTTTTATCTTTCTTGGGACACATATCGCAGGACACTTGGAAAGATTACATGATTAACTCTGAAAAATAAATGAACCAAAGTGGCTTCCATTTCATCACATTACAATTACAATACTGAAAAAAAAGTATATTTTATTTCTGTAGTTACTTCAACCTCATAGAGTATTTAATATGGATTAATGGACTGTTAAAAAACCATCTATTGTTGCAGATAGTATGCTCAATTTACCTATTATATATTTTGCTTAAAATTTATTGCCAGGTTATATGTATCCTCCTATATAAATTACAGTATATATTTTTTTCTCTCTCAAGGGCAATCATGGTTGGTATAGTACTTACATTTATCCAGTATACAAACCTTAGAGGAATGTTTCCCAGTGAGATCGTTTTCAGGTCAAGTTTATGTTTCTTTCCTGTCTCTAACCTAGGAATTTTCATACTTATTCTCCCTCCTTGCCCCCACAGTAGATATTTCTAAGTAACTTATTACTGAAGTCTCAAAATGCGGTTGTCATAGGTTTGTTTGAGAGCATTAGTTCACATCCTATACATATGACAATGGCCTTCATGATTAAGTATGTGAAAAATGTATAGAAGATTCAAGTTAAAACAAAAGAAAAAGTAAGGATATTATAGGGGTCCAGGGTTAGGAAGGTATTGTCTAAACTTGAAAGAGACTATAATATATTACATATTATCATTTATTGAGTATGAGGTACTAAGCTAGCCACATATATGCATTGCCTATATTCTTCACTACAGCCCTGCAATTGTGATTGTTAAACCCAATTTTCAGAAGAAAACAGCATAACTTGCCTAAGGATACACTATATAGCCAGTAAGTATCAGAGCAAAATATGAATACTCGTCTGAATAATTTAAAAACATGTTATCTTTTTTCATTGTGCTGTGCTAATCATACCAATACCCTTAAAAATGTATAGCATAGAAAAATGTTGGGAAAGATGAAAAATTTAATTCTTCTTTCTGTGGTTTATGTCTTCCATTTGAACTGTAATTATAATTTTTACCTAATTTAATGTAAAAATTAAATGCAGTTATGAAAAACAGTGCATTTTAAAATTATACATAGTATAGGAATATATTGTTTGAGAAAATATATAATAAAATTTCTAGATACTGACTAGTTGTAGCTTCTACTAATTGATACTTATATAGGACAGATTTCAAAAGATACAATAGAGCAAATATCATTTGAAAAAAAACATAAAGGAATAGTATACCACAAATCCTATTCATTTTTCTGCTCTTTCATTGTTGTTACATAAAACCTGTTGTTACATGTAATGTCATGTATAAACAACATAGACTTTGTAAGCAGCTAAACCTGAGTTCAAATCCTGACTTCATTACTAATATGTGACCTTGGGTAGTTGCTTAACATCCCTAACCCCAGATTTCTACTCTGTGAAACAAAGTGAAAAGCTACTTCAAACATTTTATTCATTCAAAATTTTTCATTGAGAACTTTATACCTGATAGAGTTCTAGATCTTAGAGATACATTACTTGGAATGAATGAATGAATGAATAAAATAGTGCTAGGCACAAGACACAAAGTTAAGTACTCTTTTCTGAGTGCTTATAATCTGGTAGGAAAGAATTTGTAATATAATTAAAGAAGTGACATTGATAAATTTCTGATAAATGCTGATATAGGCAGTATAAAGTGTTACTGCAAAAAATGACAGAAGCATCTAATCTTAGATATTGCACCCTGGAAGAAGTGATAATACAAGCTGATATGAATGATGCATTCAAGTTAAATCAGATAAACAGGAGGGGGAAGGCTTGTTTTTAAAATATTCCAGGGAGACAGCATTCCTGAAAGGCCCAAAAGTCAGGGTATATAAAATGTTTGAGACACTGCAAGAATTTTGAATGTCTGCAATAGGATGTAAGATAGAAATAGTAAAATTTTAGGTGTTACAAATAGGTGTGAGAGAGATTTGAAAATGATTAGTATTGATACAATAAAGCCTTGGATGTCAAAAAGAACACCCAGGGAGGGTATGTAGAATAAGATTAATAGAAGAGTTAGGGAAAAAGTACCAAATAGTTCTGGCAATATGGCAGACAAATGAGAAGTGCTAGATAAACTGAACATTTTAATACACAGGTGAATGTATAAGAAAATAATACAAATTTTCATAGTCTGGAAATGACATGAGTCCTGAAATCTAGAACAGTTTGTGAAGTATAACTGCTCTGTGTATGTGTGTGTTTGTGTTTGTGTGTGTGTGTGTGTGTGTGTGTGTGTGTCTAGATGATTGGGTTTTAATGTCACTATGGGACAGGTGACACTTCCTTAGTTTCACAGAAAGTGTGGATCCCGGCAAATATCCAAGACCCTCAGAGCTTAAACCCTCAGTTTAAGGGTGGATTACAGAATATCTCTTCCCAGCACAAAGAGATGTATCAGCCTGGACTGTGAGTGGAAAAAAAGGTATAATGCCCCCATGAAAATTTAGACATCTGGTTCCCAACTTACAATTTTTTGACTTTATGATGGTGTGAAAATGATTTGCATTTGATAGAAACAGTAGTCTGAATTTTGAATTTTGACCTTTTCTTGGGTAGCAATATGCTCTATGATATCTTCTTGTGATGGGCAGTGGTGGTGAGCTGCAGCTCCCA